CCACCCCCCCCCCCCCCCCCTCCTCGCTCTTCTCTCTCTCTCTCTCTCTCTCTCACTCTCACTCTCTCTCTCTCTCTCTCTCTCTCACTCTCACTCTCACTCTCACTCTCTCTCTCTCTCTTTCTTTCTCTCTCTCTCTCTCTCTCTCTTTCTTTCTTTCTTTCTCTCTCTCTCTCGCTCTCACTCTCTCTCGCTCTCTCAGGTGAGCTGTATGACCTTGATGCAACTACTCTTCAGCTTAAAGTAATCAATTATGTAAGTATTGGAGATCTCATACCATCCCTGTACACATGAAGACACAAACACACACACCCACCCTATCCTTTCATCTTTCACTCTCTATTCCGAACATATACAATTTGGTAGACTATTTGGTTTTTACAAATAACCATTCAAATACTCAAATAAAAGTATTTGTTTTGGGCTGTGTATTTGAACATACTCAAATATATAGAAAAATTGACCATGTCCAAATACACGTAGTTCCGTTTCTAAATAGTAGACATTTAGGTATGCGAAAAAATTAAGTTGTATCGTTTTTTCGGAAATGTAGTATGCTTTAATAAATGCCAGGATGTCGTACTCATTTTGTCTTTTCATTTAGTAGAATTTGTTGCACACTATTGAGGTAGAGAAGCGTATTTCAAGACCCACGTGTGTCTGACAACAGCTGATAATCAGCTGAGGGGACGCACTGTACCAAAATTAACGAATGGCGGGAATATTTAACCTTTATTTAACCAGGAAAAGACCCTTGAGGTTAGAAACCTCTTTTTGGAGGAGGTCAGCAGGAAGTAGTCAGCGTGTACACACAACACAAGAAGACAATGCAATATATTAAAAACAATTACAGTTGCGCATTAGATTACTACAGTTTTTTACAATCACTTTGGCACTAATTTCAGAACCTTGACGTCATTTTTCAAAACTCTAGACACAAAATGGTCATCACTTGTAACACAGGCTGTCCAATGTTCAAAACATTGCATTGTGCATTCATATCTTTAAAGAAATCTTGCACTTGCACAATCATTGGTTCAAAAAACTAATTTATTGTGAAATACCAATGAAACGTTAATTTAGATCACCCACACACAAGCAACCGATAGTTTCACTGTGTCATTGTTCGTACAATCATTAAATATTGTAGTACAAAATAGGTGATACATGTTTCATTATGGTACTACATGTAAATACATCCCTGTAAAAGTACTGCTGTAGTAGAGAGAATACTACAGACTGTCAAGGGGTGCTGAAGGTGGGTGTGGTGCAGGAATCAAGCGCAGGACGCAGAAGCTCAGTCCAAAAGACTTTAGTGAAATATTCACGTAGTAAATGAGCACAATAAGCCCGGAGGCGAAATAACGGCGCACACAGGCATCAAACAAACGGCGCACTAACATGTGGAAAAACCTCTCCAAAACACTGGAGGGAAATACGTAGCTCAAACACCAAAACAGAAGAGCAATCACACACAAACACAGACACACACAACGAGAACTAAATAGGACACTAACGAGGACTAACTAGACACAGGTGTACAACATCAAGACAAAACCAAACGAACATGAAACATAGATCGGTGGCAGCTAGTACTCCGGGGACGACGACCGCCGAAGCCTGCCCGAACCAGGAGGAGGAGCAGCCTCGGCCGAAACCGTGACAGTACCCCCCCCCCCCCCCTTGACGCGCGGCTCCAGCCGTGCGCCGACCCCGGCCTCGGGGACGACCAGGAGGACGCGGATCAGGGCGCGCGGGATGGTCCCGGTGGAACTCCGACAGGAGAGATGGGTCTAGGATGTCCCTCCGCGGCACCCAGCACCGCTCCTCCGGGCCGTACCCCTCCCACTCCACGAGATACTGGAGACCCCCCATCCGGCGTCTTGAGTCCAAGATGGACCGAACGGTGTACGCCGGAGCCCCCTCGATGTCCAGTGGGGGCGGAGGAGTCTCTCCTATCTCACCTTCCTGGAGTGGACCAGCTACCACCGGCCTGAGAAGAGACACATGGAACGAGGGGTTAATATTCTTATATTCAACAGGTAGATGTAACCTATAACACACCTCGTTCAATCTTCTCAGGACTTTAAAAGGCCCCACAAACCGCCGACCCAGCTTCCGGCAGGGCAGGCGGAGGGGTAGGTTTCTGGTAGAGAGCCAGACTCGATCTCCGGGTGCGTACACCGGCCCCTCACTGCGGTGGAGATCGGCGCTCGCCTTGTGACGACGGATGGCCCGCTGCAGGTGGACGTGGGCAGCGTTCCACGTCTCCTCCGAGCGCCTCATCCAATCATCTACCGCAGGGGCCTCGATCTGGCTCTGCTGCCAAGGTGCCAGAACCGGCTGGTAACCTAACACACATTGGAAGGGGGTTAGGTTGGTAGAGGAGTGGCGAAGAGAGTTCTGGGCCATCTCGGCCCAGGGAATGTACCGAGCCCACTCCTCAGGCCGGTCCTGGCAATACGACCTCAGAAACCTACCCACATCCTGGTTGACACGTTCTACCTGCCCGTTACTCTCCGGGTGGTACCCTGAGGTAAGGCTAACCGAGACCCCCAAACGCTCCATGAACGCTCTCCATACTCGGGAGGTAAACTGGGGGCCTCGATCAGACACTATATCCTCGGGTACCCCGTAATGCCGGAAGACGTGGGTAAATAGGGCCTCTGCGGTTTGTAGGGCAGTAGGCAGACCCGTCATAGGGAGAAGACGACAGGCCTTAGAGAACCGGTCCACAACGACCAGGATGGTGGTATTCCCCTGAGAGAGGGGAAGGTCTGTCACAAAATCCGCCGAGAGGTGGGACCATGGTCGTTGTGGAACGGGCAGGGGTTGTAACTTACCCCTGGGCAGGTGTCTGGGCGCCTTACACTGGGCGCACACCGAGCAGGAGGAGACATAAACCCTCACATCCCTGGCTAACGTGGGCCACCAGTATTTAGTGCTAAGACAATGCACTGTCCGGCCAATACCCGGATGTCCAGAGGAGGGTGACGTGTGAGCCCAGTAAATGAGTCGATCCCGAATCTCGAGCGGAACGTACTTCCGACCCTCAGGACACTGTGGAGGGCTGGGGTCGGTACGCAACGCTCGCTCGATTTCGGCATCGACCTCCCACACCACCGGTGCCACAAGACAAGACTCCGGTAGTATGGGAGTAGGCTCAACGGACCTCTTCTCCGTGTCATACCGCCGGGACAGCGCATCTGCCTTACCATTCTGGGACCCAGGGATGTACGTGATTTTAAATACGAACCTGGTGAGAAACATACTCCATCGAGCCTGGCGAGGGATCAGTCTCCTCGCTGCCCGGATGTACTCCAGGTTCCGATGGTCAGTCAAAATGAGGAAAGGGTGTTGAGCCCCCTCAAGCCAATGCCTCCACACCTTAAGGGCCTGAACTACAGCTAACAGCTCCCTGTCCCCGACGTCATAATTACGCTCCGCCGGGCTGAGCTTTTTTGAGTAAAAAGCACAGGGGCGGAGTTTAGGTGGCGTGCCGGACCGTTGAGAGAGAACGGCCCCTATACCAGCCTCAGACGCGTCCACCTCAACCTGAAAGGGTAATGCGGGATCCGGATGCGCCAGCACCGGAGCCGACGTAAACAGGTCCTTCAGTCTCCTAAAGGCCCTGTCCGCATCAGCTGACCACTGCAGGCGCACCGGACCCCCTTTCAGAAGGGACGTGATGGGAGCTGCCACCTGTCCAAAACCCCGGATAAACCTCCGGTAGTAATTCGCAAAGCCCAAGAACAGCTGCACCTCTTTGACAGTGGTTGGGGTTTGCCAATTACGCACGGCAGACACACGATCCACCTCCATTCTCACCCCTGACGCGGACAACCGATAACCCAAAAAGGAGACCGACTCCTGGAAAAACAGACATTTCTCTGCCTTGACATATAGGTCGTGCTCCAACAGCCTCCTCAATACACGACGCACCAGGGTTATATGCTCGGCTCGGGTTGACGAGTACACCAGAATGTCATCAATGTACACGACCACCCCTTGCCCCTGCATATCCCGGAAAATGTCATCTACGAAGGATTGGAAGACTGATGGAGCATTCATCAACCCATATGGCATGACGAGATACTCGAAATGACCTGACGTGGTACTAAACGCTGTTTTCCATTCTTCGCCCTCCCTAATGCGCACCAAGTTATACGCGCTCCTGAGATCCAGTTTTGTGAAAAACCGCGCTCCATGCAATGACTCCGTCATGGTCGCAATCAGAGGGAGTGGATAACTGTATTTCACAGTAATCTGATTGAGACCACGGTAATCAATGCACGGGCGCAACCCTCCATCTTTTTTCTTCACAAAAAAGAAGCTCGAGGAGGCGGGAGAAGTGGAGGGCCGAATGTATCCCTGTCTCAAAGATTTGGCTATGTAAGTCTCCATAGCTTTTCTCTCCTCTTGAGACAAAGGATACACGTGGCTCCGTGGGAGCGCTGCTCCTGCCTGGAGATCAATCGCACAATCCCCCTGTCTATGAGGAGGCAACTGCGTCGCCCTAGTTTTACTGAACACGAGAGCTAAATCCCCATATTCAGGCGTATTGTGCAGTGCGGGCACTTGGTTTGGACTTTCCACCGAAGTCGCCCCCACGGAAACACCCAGACATCGCCCCTCGCACTGAGCAGACCACCCATCGAGAGCCCTCTGTTGCCACGAAATAGCAGGGTTATGGGTGCTTAACCAGGGAATTCCCAGCACCACTGGGTACGCAGGAGAGTCGATCAGATACAGCTGTATAGTCTCTTCATGACCCCCCTGCGCACACATCCTAAGTGGTGCTGTGATCTCCCTAATCAACCCCGACCCCAACGGGCGGCTATCTAAGGCATGAACGGGAAAAGGTTTGTCAACAGGTAGGAGAGGGATCCCTAAATCTAAACAAAACTTTCGATCAACAAAATTCCCAGCTGCGCCTGAATCTACTAGCGCCTTATGCTGGGAATGAGGTGCAACCTGTGGAAAACAAACAGGTATACAAAAGTGCGCAACAGAGAGCTCTGGGTAAGTGGGGCGTCTACTCACCTGGGAGGGCTCCCCAGTGCGTGGCCTGTTGTCTTCTCCCCCGGAGGACCCTCCCCAGCACCTGGCCGCAGTGTGCCCTCCACGACCGCACTTGGTGCAGGAGACAGGTCCCCTCGGGCTCCTCCTCCTCCTTTCTCTAGCGCCGGCACCCCCGAGCTCCATAGGGCTCGGCTCGGAGGTGCCGGAGGGCGGAATGGACGGACCCCACTCGGGACGTCCACGGGTGGCCAGCAGGGTGTCCAGACGGATGGACATATCGACCAACTGGTCGAAGGTGAGATTGGTATCCCTGCAGGCCAACTCACGTTGAACGTCCTCCCGTAGGCTACATCGAAAATGGTCGATGAGGGCCCGTTCATTCCATCCTGCGTCCGCCGCTAGAGTCCGGAACTCCAGCGCAAACGCCTGTGCGCTCCTCCTCCCCTGTCTCAGGTGGACTAGACGCTCCCCCGCCGCTTTGCCCTCAGGTGGATGGTCGAACACGGCCTTGAAGCGACGGGAGAACTTGGCGTAGGAGATGGTGGTGGCGTCCATCTTCCTCCACTCGGCGTTGGCCCATTCCAACGCCTTGCCCGTGAGACAGGAGATGAGGGCGGAAACGCTCTCGTGTCCCGAGGGCACCGGGTGTACAGTGGCCAGGTAGAGCTCCACCTGCAGGAGGAACCCCTGACACCCGGCAGCTGTTCCGTCATACGCCCTCGGGAGCGAGAGCCGATTTCCCCTGGGTTCCGGACCTGGGACTGGTGGACCGGCCGATGGGGTTGGCAGGGTAGGTGGAGGTGTGGGTACCCCTCTGGACTCCCATCGGTGCAGGGTGTTGATGACGTCCTGTAGAGCGGTCCCCAGTTGTCGTTTCTGGTCATCCTGGCCGCGGACATGCTCCTCGAGCGACTCGGGCGTGACTGTTGATCCTGCTGATTCCATTCAATGGGTGTGTGATTCTGTCAAGGGGTGCTGAAGGTGGGTGTGGTGCAGGAATCAAGCGCAGGACGCAGAAGCTCAGTCCAAAAGACTTTAGTGAAATATTCACGTAGTAAATGAGCACAATAAGCCCAGAGGCGAAATAACGGCGCACACAGGCATCAAACAAACGGCGCACTAACATGTGCAAAAACCTCTCCAAAACACTGGAGGGAAATACGTAGCTCAAACACCAAAACAGAAGAGCAATCACACACAAACACAGACACACACAACGAGAACTAAATAGGACACTAACGAGGACTAACTAGACACAGGTGTACAACATCAAGACAAAACCAAACGAACATGAAACATAGATCGGTGGCAGCTAGTACTCCGGGGACGACGACCGCCGAAGCCTGCCCGAACCAGGAGGAGGAGCAGCCTCGGCCGAAACCGTGACACAGACACAGTGGAATCATTGAACAAAATCTGAAATATGTTGATGAAAAACGATACAGTACTGTAAAACATCAAATGCAGTGTTCCTCAACTTGCTTGCTTGTACTGTAAAAAGCTAAACATAGGAGTGATTACTGTACTTCTACATTTTCATCAACTCTGTCTTGTGGATTTGGCCACAGGTTCTCATCTACATCACAATGGATGTTTTCATTAGCCAAACATCTTGGAAAAAACCTTCGGGTATGGCGAATCCAGGCCTGACACTGGTCTGCCGTGATGTCATTGCATGTGTCATCCATGGCCTGGAGAAAAGTGACTTGTTCATGAGGGCGCCTATCATAAACCTTCCATCTCCATATGGAGAAAAATTCCTCAATCGGGTTAAGGAAAGGAGAGTATGGGGGTAAATACTGGGTGGTAAATTGTGCATGGGCCTGAAACCATGCTTGCTCGGATTTCATTGGACACTCTTTGCTGTTGCTGCCGCTGTCTTGGTCCGTGGCCTTGTCCTCTACCACGTTCCCCCACACCTCTCAAACGAGGCCCACGACCACCTCTCAGAAGGGGTGCTTGTCCCCTGCCATTCCTTTGACCAATACGTCTTCCTCGTCTTCCTCCCACCACTGCTTGACCTCTATTGTGACCTGGATCACCTGCCGGCTCCATGTTACAGTACGTATTGCTATATTGTTGCAAATGGATCCCAATCAATTCTTTATATACTCGTTCCATAATGTGAACTCAATCATCAGTAACAAGTTGGCAGAATTGGACAAGCAATTACAAGGGCCTTCATCCATACAGTGCAGTACTGTCAATACTGTAAATAGTCTGAAAAGGTGGTACATGGGACCATAGAAACGGTGTCTGATAAAGAATGATGATGAAATATTACATCCATAGATAATGTAGTAATTGGTTCATGCTCCACACTAATAGGTCGCAATGAATCTCGTTATCTTGAAACTTTCATGATCTAAACATGGAATATTGTTTGTCTGTTTCCATACAACTATGCATTAAGAGTAATGCAACAGTTACTTATCATTTTGAGCAGTTGTATCAATTGATAGTTGGATAATTGTAATGAAATGAATAGACACTCATCTGAAATGTAATGTGTGAATTGCCTTTTGAAATAGTAGTACTTTGATGTTAAGTTGTGTCATATTGAACAGGTGATTTTTGTTAAATGAACAAATGATCTTAGTTGTATGTGTATTGTATCCAAGCAATTGAAAAAAGTGTTAGAGTTTTGAAAAATGTGCATTTTGATAATTGGTTGTGAGTTTTGTGTCTAGAGTTTTGAAAAATGACGTCAAGGTTCTGAAATTAGTGCCAAAGTGATTGTAAAAAACTGTAATTCTCAGTGGGGCCCCCCCCCCCCCCCCCCCCCACACACACACACACAAACACACACACACAGACACACACACACACACTGACACATACACGCACACATACACAGTTTGCTGTGTATGCTCTGTACTGTATGTTGTGTGTGTGTGTGTGTGTTCTCTGGGGTAGAGGGAGGGAGGGTAGAGGGTGTTGAGCGGTGTTTGGTGTGTCTGTGTGTGTGTGTGTGTGTGTGTGTGTGTGTGTGTGTGTGTGTGTGTGTGTGTGTGAGTGTCTGGGTGTGTGTGAGTGTGTGTGTGAGTGTCTGTGTGTGTGTGTGTCTGGGTGTGTGTGTGTCTGTGTGTGTGTGTGTGTGTGTGTGGTGTGTGTGTGTGTGTGTGTGTGTGTGTGGTGTGTGTGTGTGTGTGTGTGTCTGGGTGTGTGTGAGTGTCTGTGTGTGTGTCTGTGTGTGTGTGTGTGTGTGTGTGTGTGTGTGAGTGTCTGGGTGGGGGTCTGAGGTATTGGCAGGGTGTGTTTGTTTATTCCTGTTCTGCTTGTTCTACATCCACCTCCCTGGATTACAGCTAAAGGTAGCTTAGTGGGTAAGAGCGTTGTGCCAGTAACCGAAAGGTCGCTGGTTCTAATCCCCGAGGCGACTAGGTGAAAAATCTGTCGATGTGCCCTTAAGCAAGGCACTTAACCCTAATTGCTCCTGTAAGTCGCTCTGGATAAGAGCGTCTGCTAAATTACTAAAATGTAATGTAAATGTAAAGCTGCGGTGTGAAGATGGAAACACTGCTATTATCTGTGTGTGTGTGTGTGTGTGTGTGTGTGTGCGAGTGTATGTATATTAATTAGTTCCTGTTATATCTCTCAGTGGGAAGTTGGAGGTAATGTATCTTCTTGCTGTTCAGTAGAGTTAGAGAGATGTGATCAGCAGAGTTAGAGAGATGTGATCAGTAGAGTTAGAGAGATGTGATCAGTAGAGTTAGAGAGATGTGATCAGCAGAGTTAGAGAGATGTGATCAGTAGAGTTAGAGAGATGTGATCAGTAGAGTTAGAGAGATGTGATCAGCAGAGTTAGAGAGATGTGATCAGCAGAGTTAGAGAGATGTGATCAGTAGAGTTAGAGAGATGTGATCAGCAGAGTTAGAGAGATGTGATCAGCAGAGTTAGAGATGTGATCAGTATAGTTAGAGAGATGTGATCAGTATAGTTAGAGAGATGTGATCAGCAGAGTTAGAGAGATGTGATCAGTATAGTTAGAGAGATGTGATCAGTAGAGTTAGAGAGATGTGATCAGTAGAGTTAGAGAGATGTGATCAGCAGAGTTAGAGAGATGTGATCAGCAGAGTTAGAGAGATGTGATCAGTATAGTTAGAGAGATGTGATCAGCAGAGTTAGAGAGATGTGATCAGTATAGTTAGAGAGATGTGATCAGCAGAGTTAGAGAGATGTGATCAGTAGAGTTAGAGAGATGTGATCAGCAGAGTTAGAGAGATGTGATCAGTATAGTTAGAGAGATGTGATCAGCAGAGTTAGAGAGATGTGATCAGTAGAGTTAGAGAGATGTGATCAGCAGAGTTAGAGAGATGTGATCAGTAGAGTTAGAGAGATGTGATCAGCAGAGTTAGAGAGATGTGAACAGCAGGTTTAGAGAGATGTGGACAGAATACATCCACACTTATTTACAGCTATGTGGACCGATGCAGGCATGGATGGACGGATGGATTTCTGATTAAGAGACTCTGATGGACAGACTGATATAATTAAATATTGATGTATTGATGAGATATAGTGTATGTATCTTTAGTCATGTATTAGTTGTTTTGTCTCCTCAGTTGCAGCAGCAGACCCAGTCTCAATGCTGCTGTCTGCTGCTGCTGTCTGAGGACAGCCACCAGCTCTTCTGTCAGGTACGTCCTCGTAAAACACACCTTGGTCTCAATGGTAATCCTCCCTGTTAAAATAAAGGTTCAATTAATAAATAAAATAAATGTCTGTTCTAATGCCACGTCAGTCTGATAACAGGGTATTCCTCCATTAGAACGGTGCCTAAGGTATCTCAGAAGATAACCTGTGTAAAGTCTGACCTCTCTTCTCCTCAGGTGGTTGGAGACAAAGTTCTGGAGGAGGAGATCAGCTTCCCTGTGAGTCCTGACCCCTGACCCTAACTCCTGACCCCTAACCCCTGACTCATGACCCATATTACTGCCCCTAAACATTTCATGAAAATGAGACTTTGATATGGGGAAATTAAGAGGCAAGAGGCTAAATGATCATGTATATCTCTCCTTCCAGCTGATGTTTGGGCGCTTTGGGCAGGTGGTGGAGAAAAAGAAATCCATCACTCTTCAGGACGTCACTGCGGTGAGTGACCTTGATCCTAGACTGTGAAAAGCATCTCTCCATGTGGATCGATGTGGATGCAGTCCCGCTAGATCCTAATAGTCTCTTTCTCTTTCTTTGCACACACGTATGCAAAGACGTCAGCAGTGTTATTCTCATTCTAAATGTGATCCTTCCTCCCACCTTTCTCTTTCCCTCCCTCCTTCTCTCTCTCTCTCTCTCTCTTGCTCTCTCTCGCTCTCTCTCTGTCATTCATTCTCTCTCTCTCTCTCTCTCTCTGTCATTCATTCTCTCTCTCTCTCTCTCTCTCTCTCTCTCTCTCTCTCTCTCTCTCTCTCTCTCTTCTCTCTCTCTCTCTCTCTCTCTCTCTCTCTCTCTCTCTCTCTCTCTCTCTCTCTCTCTCTCTCTCCCCACCTGTCCTCCTCTAGGAGGAGTGTAGACAGCTGTCCAGTATGCTGGGCAGTGAAGTGTCCTCTCTGCTGTGTGTCCCTGTGGTCAGCAGAGCCACTGGCCAGGTGGTGGCACTAGCCTGCGCCTTCAACAAGCAGGGAGGACAGAGGTGAGACACACACACACACACACTCACACACACAACACACACACACACACTCACACACACACACACACACACACACACACACACACACACATACATACACACACAGGAGAGTGCATTCTAATAGACCTCTGTGTTCCAGAGATAACAGGCCAGCTCCAGTGGCAGAGGGCCAAGGAGAGCATGGTCGTCACCCTCAAGTGTGTGTGTGTGTGTGTGTGTGTCAGACGATGCCACATTAATCAATGTGTGTGAGTGTGTCTGTGGTCTCCATAGAGAGCTGGCCCCTATAACATGAGCTTCAAACCTGCCCTGGACACACACTGCCAGCGCACGCACACACCCACACGCCAAGCCAACATGCCAACTGGCCAATTCAGCTGACACAAAGTCCCTCTCAAGGGGTTCACACACACACACACACACACACACAAACACACACACCACAGGAGGCTGTTAAGGGGAGGACGGCTCATAATAATGGCCGGAACTGCGCAAATGGAATAGCATCAAACACATGGAAACACATGCGTTTTATGTATTTGATACCATTCCACTAATTCTGCTCCAGCCGTTATCACGAGCCCGTTCTCCGCAATGAAGGTGCCACCAACCTCCTGTGACAAACACACACAAACACATATACACACACACACACACACACACACACACACACAGAGGGAGGAATGTGAAGTGTTGCTCAGGACAGCAGTAATCCCAGTAAGCTCTCTGCTGACGTTTTGGCTCTGAACATTTCTCTTCCTCCCTCTCTGTCTGTCGCATATCTCTTCCTCTTCTGTCTCTCTTCCTTTCTCCCTGCCTCTTCCTCTCTCTTTTTCTCTCTTTCTCTGTTAGTTATAGATTATACGTTTCTACTCGTATTAAAGGGGCTGAAGATTAAAGCCACTCATCTCCTCCTTTCAAAGAGTTATTGCCCCTAGACACACACAAACACACACACACACACACACACACACACACACCACACACATATAAACACACACACTGTGAGAGGAAGACATCCCATAATATCCTCAGTGGGGGCTAATGACAGGGGCTGACTACAGTCTCCATAGTTACACTGACAGACTAGAGATGTAGAGGATTATTAGTGAACTGTGTAGCATATGAGTTTATCCTCTTATTTCTGGTATTTCCATCATAACTCACTCCTCTTTCGTATCCCTCTCTCCCATCATCCCTCTCTCCCACCTCCCTCCTTCTCATCCCTGGATGTTGTTAGTGGTTTAGGCCGGGGCTAATCATTAACTGGCCCTCGAGGGCTGAAATACTGATGCTTTCCTTTTCTCCTTGCTAGTTCATTGATTTGTTCATGTGACTGATTGGCTGGAGGGTTCACTCACCTGGTGTCCCAGGTCTGAATCCGTCCCTGGTTAGTAGGAGAGAATGGAGACAGTACAAATCCAAAAGCACTGTTACCCTAAATTCAATCTGTCATCATTGAGTCCATTTTTCCATCCCCCTCCATCCCTCTGTCCCTCCATCCCTCTTTCACCTCAGTTGTCAGGCAACAGCCCCCACTCTACTCTACTTTATCTCTCTCTCTTACTCTCCTCTTTCCACTACATGTCAATTGTTGAATTTTTTTCAATTCAAAGATCTTTATTGGCATGGAAAACATATGTTTATATTGCCAAAGCTAGTGAAATAGATAATAAACAAAAGTGAAATAAACAATAAAAAATGAACCGTAAATATTACACTCACAAGTTTCAAAGGAATAGACACATTTCAAATGTCATATCTCTATCATTCACACTCGTCCCCCTCCACCTCTATTACACTCTCTCCATCTGTCTCTCGTTCTACCCGCTCCCTCTCCCTTCGCCTTCCCGGTTCTATCCTCCTATCACATATCACATGTCATATGTTCTGCCAGACAGATATCTGATGCCTCCAGGCTTAGAGGAACCTGCATTCCAGAGAACCTATTGGTTCTTTGTGCCAACAAGCCAATCACGGCCTAGCGCCAGCCTGCTGTCAGAAACAGCCCAGACTCAGAGGTTGAGTTTCTCTAGAGTGGTGATTGAGGGATGAGGGGATAGTTTTCCTGATTATGTGACATGGCATGAAAAAAACTCCTTCATAATCAAGTCCTCTAGTTTAGAATTATCTGTTTTTCCAGTCTCTCCTCTGTACTGCTCACAGTGTAAAGGTGTTGCCATCTGCAGGCAGAGATATGTAACTACACTGATATTAATGGAAGAGCAGAGGCCTTCTCTCTCTATCCATCTGGCCTGTTTAAACACATTTTTTATGCACCTGTTTATTCTAATGATCAGTCAACTTTTCTCAACTTTGGAATTCAATGTTTCATTTTGGACTAAAATGTGTTCTCTCTGTGCAGACACACGGAGGCGGATGAACATAAGATCCAGCACTGCTTCTGTTACACCTCCACTGTCCTCACCTCCACACTGGCCTTCCAGAAAGAACAGAAACTCAAAGTGGAGTGCCAGGCACTGTTACAGGTGGCCAAGAATCTCTTCACACATCTGGGTGAGTTATCCTCCTCTCCTCTCCTCTCCTCTCCTCTCCTCTCCTCTCCTCTCCTCTCCTCTCCTCTCCTCTCCTCTCCTCTCCTCTCCTCTCCTCTCCTCTCCTCTCCTCTCCTCTTCTCTCCTCTGGTTCAGATTGAATCCCTACATATTGATAACACAACCCTCCTTGTGGTAGCTCAGCCTGCTTATCTATCAATCCCCACCCTGTGCTCTTTCTCTCTGTCTCTCTCTCTCTCTCTGTAGATGATGTGTCGGTGTTGTTGCAGGAGATTATAGTGGAGGCCAGGAACCTCAGCGATGCAGAGATGTGAGTTCTTGAAGACCCATAAAACAACCTAAACCCTGAAAGTACATCTAACATGCTTTCCAGCAGATAAGTAATGACGGGAGGAAATGGAAAAAATACTTATTCCCTCTTCCTCTAAATGCTCTCTTCGTCTTTCTCTCTCTCTCTTCTTTAGTTTACTCTTATTCATGACCTATCCTTAATGCCTAGTCACTTCACCGCTGTCCTCAATTACAGTATCTACCACCGCAATACCTTAATTATTACTATCCGGATGCCTAGTCACTTACCCTGCCTTAATGTACAATCTACCTACAAATATCTGATTATATCTAATCCTGATGCTATTCACTTTACCAACGCATGCCTTCAGTAATACTAATCCTCAAGATAACGGAATTATTGATCTATCCGATGCCGGGTTAGTCCAAGTTTACCACCCTGACTTCATGTACAGATCTACCGCTCATACACCGTGATTCGTAGCTATCCTGATGCCTCATTGCACTTTACCTGCCTTCATGTCCATATCTAGCCTCAAATACTGATTATTATCTATCCTGGATCCTAGTCATTTACCGCTGCCTTCATGTAATTCTACCTCAAATAACTGATTTTTATCTATCCTGATGCTAGTCACTTTACCCTGCCTTCATGTACATATCTACCTAAAATACCTTATTATTATCTATCCTGATGCCTAGTCACTTTACCCTGCCTTCATGTACATATCAACCTCAAATACCTTATTATTATCTATCCTGATGCCTAGTCACTTTACCCTGCCTTCATGTACATATCTACCTCAAATAACTTATTATTATCTATCCTGATTCTAGTCACTTTACCCTGCCTTCATGTACATATCTACCTCAAATAACTTATTATTATCTATCCTGATGCCTAGTCACTTTACCCTGCCTTCATGTACATATCTACCTCAAATACTTCATACCCCTGCACATTGATCGGGTACTGGTACTCCCTGTATATGCTGTAGCTCCATCCTCTTATGTTACAATTTTTATTTTCATTATTATTTTGTTGGGAAGTGCTCAAAAGCAAACATTTTACGGTAAAATCTACACCCGTTGTATTTGACAAATGACATTTTATTTTGATTTCATTTCTCTTTCTTTCGCTCTCTCTCGCTCTCTCTCTCTCTCTCTCTTTCTCTCTCTCTGTCTCTCTCTCTCTTCCTCTCTCTCTCTCTCCCCCCCTCTCTTTCTCTGTAGTTGTTCTGTGTTCCTACTGGATCAAGTCAGCCATGAGCTGGTTGCCAAGGTTTTTGATGGGGGCGTGGTCAGTGATGATGAGGTAAAACACACGTCTAGAACTTCTGTTTGATGATGATGATGACGATTATTATTGCGAAGATGTAATCATCATCATCATGATGAAGATGAAGATTATGAAGATGGTCCCTCTCTGTCTCTGTGTGTGTGTGTGTGTGTGTGTGTGTGTGTGTGTGTGTGTGTGTGTGTGTGTGTGTGTGTGTGTGTGTGTGTGGTGTGTGGTGTGGTGTGTCGTGTGCGTGTGCGTGTGCGTGTGCGTGTGTGTCTGTCTCTCTGTGTGTGTGTGTGTAGAAGGAGTTCCGTATCCCTGCGGACCAGGGCATAGCGGGTCACGTAGCCATGACAGGGCAGATACTGAACATTAAGGATGCGTACTCCCACCCTCTGTTCTACCGAGGAGTGGACGACAGCACCGGCTTCAGAACACGCAACATCCTCTGCTTCCCCATCAAGGACGAGAACAACGGTGAGAATTGAACTAACACTACACTGGAGTAAACAACTGAACTAACACTACACTGGATTAAACAACTGAACTAACACTACACTGGAGTAAACAATTGAACTAACACTACACTGGAGTAAACAACTGAACTAACACTACACTGGAGTAAACAATTGAACTAACACTACACTGGAGTAAACAACTGAACTAACACTACACTGGAGTAAACAACTGAACTAACACTACACTGGAGTAAACAACTGAACTAACACTACACTGGAGTAAAACAACTGAAACTAACACTACACTGGAGTAAAACAACTGACTAACACTACACTGGAGTAAAACAAACTGAACTAAACACTACACTGGGAGTAAAACAAATGACAATACATAGGACACGCCATGGAGTGAGGAGCTGCTCTCTACCTCATCTATGGCTAATCCAATCTCTTCTTCTCTCTCCTCTCTCTCTCTTCTCTCTCTCTACTCTCTCTCTCTAGCTCTCTCTCTCTCTCTCTCTCTCTCTCGATCTCTCTCCTCTCTCTCTCTCTCTCTCTCTCTCTCTCTCTCTCTCTCTCTTTTTAAATTACATTTAAGGGCTTTATTGGCATGGGAAATGTATGTTAACATTGCCAAAGCAAGTGAAAAGTTACAGTAAACATTACACTCACAAAAGTTCAAAATGAATAAAGACATTTAAAATGTCATTATGTGAAAATAGTTAAAGTACAAAAGGGAAAATAAATCAACATAAATATGGGTTGTATTTACAATGGTGTTTGTTCTTCACTGGTTGCCATTTTCTTGTGGCAACAGGTCACAAATCGTGCTGCTGTGATTGCACACTGTGGTATTTCACCCAATAGATATGGGAGTTTATCAAAATTGGGTTTGTTTTGGAATTCTTTGTGGGTCTGTGTAATCTGAGGTAAATATGTGTCTCTAATATGGTCATACATTTGTCAGGAGGTTAGGAAGTGCAGTTCAGTTTACACCTCATTTTTTTGGGCAGTGTGCACATAGCCTGTCTGCCTACGGCGGCCTTTCTCAATTGCAATGCTCACTGAGTCTGTCCATAGTCAAAACTTTCCATAATTTTGGGTCAGTCACAGTGGTCAGGTATTCTGCCACTGTGTACTCTCTGTTTAGGGCCAGATAGCATTCTAGTTTGCTCTGTTTTTTTGTTGATTCTTTCCATTGTGCCAAGTAATTATATTTTTGTTTTCTCATGATTTGGTTGGGTCTAATTGTGTTGCTGTCCTGTCTCTCTCTCTCTCTCTCTCTCTCTCTCTCTCTCTCTCTCTCTCTCTCTGTCTCTCAGAGGTGATTGGGGTGGCTGAATTGGTCAATAAGACTAATGGTCCGTGGTTTAACCGCTTCGATGAGGACCTGGCCACTGCTTTCTCCATCTACTGTGGAATCAGCATCGCACATGTGAGTCAAACACACCACCCAAAGCTACACAAGAACCCCTGATCTCTGATCCTCTAGTCATGACGTAGTCACACAGTGTGTTGTAAACAGTAGGATAAGAGACAGTAGGATGTTTAGTGCCCTATTGTTCTGGTGTGGATTTAGTTGTGGTTGGACTCGTCAGTGTGTGGTTGACTGACTGGTCTCTCCTGTGTGTGTTTAGTCTCTTCTGTATAATAATGTGGTTGTGGTTGACTGACTGGTCTTTTCTGTATAATAATGTGGTTGTGGTTGACTGACTGGTCTCTCTGTATAATAATGTGGTTGTGGTTGACTGACTGGTCTCTTCTGTATAATAATGTGGTTGTGGTTGACTGACTGGTCTCTCCTGTATAATAATGTGGTTGTGGTTGACTGACTGGTCTCTTCTGTATAATAATGTGGTTGTGGTTGACTGACTGGTCTCTCCTGTATAATAATGTGGTTGTGGTTGACTGGTCTCTTCTGTATAATAATGTGGTTGACTGACTGGTCTCTCCTGTATAATAATGTGGTTGACTGACTGGTCTCTCCTGTATAATAATGTGGTTGTGGTTGACTGACTGGTCTCTCCTGTATAATAATGTGGTTGTGGTTGACTGGTCTCTTCTGTATAATAATGTGGTTGACTGACTGGTCTCTTCTGTATAATAATGTGGTTGACTGACTGGTCTCTTCTGTATAATAATGTGGTTGACTGACTGGTCTCTTCTGTATAATAATGTGGTTGTGGTTGACTGGTCTCTCCTGTATAATAATGTGGTTGTGGTTGACTGGTCTCTTCTGTATAATAATGTGGTTGTGGTTGACTGACTGGTCTTTTCTGTATAATAATGTGGTTGTGGTTGACTGACTGGTCTCTTCTGTGTGTGTTCAGTCTCTTTTGTATAAGAAGGTCCATGAGGCTCAGTTCAGATCACACCTGGCCAACGAGATGATGATGTACCACATGAAGGTAAAACACACATACTAACCCCCACAACACACACACACACACACACACACACACAAACACACACACACACACACACATCCATTGCAGCAGAAATGTGATTGTGTGTGTGTGTAGGTATCAGCGGAGGAGGTGGCCCAGCTGTTGGTAACTGGGCTGGAGCCAGTGGAAGAGATTCATCCCTTATTCGCTGAGTTCACCTACACACCCCGCTCACTACCTGATGACAACACACCAATGGTAAGACAGAGGAAGAGTGTGTATGTATGTGTGTGTTTACATGCATATCCATAGAGATGTATAGCTTCAGTTTCAACTTTTAATGTCACATGCACAAGTACAGTGAAAGGCCTTTCTTGCAAGCTCTAACCCCAACAATGCAGTAATCAATAACGTAATACTAAAAATAACAAGGTAGAACAAAAACACATGAGATATAAAAATAAGAAATAAGAAGAACACGATAAAGTAAGGAAGCATACTATATACAGGGTCAGTACCATTACCATATTAACAATGTGCAGGGATACTGGAGTGATAGATTTAGATGTGTTTAAGGTTAAGGTGACTATATACAGGGTCAGTTTCAATACCATATTAACAATGTGCAGGGATACTGGAGTGATGGAGGTAGATATGTATAGGGGTAAGGTGATAGGGTCAGTTCCAGTACCATATTAACAATGTGCAGGGATACTGGAGTGATAGAGGTAGATATGTATAGGGGTAAGGTGACTATATATAGGGTCAGTTCCAGTACCATATTTACAATGTGCAGGGATATTGGATCGATAGAGGACTCAACTTATAAATAATCCGTTTTAACATGGACATTGCCATTGAGGGCTTCCACCATTTTAAAGTATTCAACTGGGTGGCGATTCCTGTGTTGGGAGCAATCAGCCAATGAACAGAGCATTTACTTTTTCTTCTAATTGGGTGCTGTAGTTTGTAAATGGCTTTACTACCGCCATCTAGTGGCCACAACAGATGAATGACATGATTTGGTTCAGGATTTCAGCACTGCAGGTGGTGGTGGTAAATCACCAATATGAGCTTTACACTTCTTTCAAACATAAAAGAAGAAGAGAATGGACTACTTTAAAATGGAGGTAGCCTCAAAGGCGCACCCATGCTGTCACAGATCCCAAATGGGTACGGGGCCCCAAAAAAGATGACCCCCTTTTCCCCCACTTGGGCCCCACCAAAAACCCCCAAAAATAACCCCTTTTTGGGCCACAAAGAGTAAGACGATTTTTGGGGGTTTTTCCAGCCAGACCCAAAAGGGCCCTGTTTGGTACTGGGGTCGGAGGGGGGGTTCGGGGGGGATTCCCCGGGGGTACCCGGGTTTTTTGGGGAGGACATGGGTTATCAAACACTAAAGAGGGACCGGCCCCACCGGGCCGGGGATCTACCCCCCCTTCTCTCTCCCCCTCTCTCTTCTCCCCTTTCTCTCTTCCTCTTCTCTCTCTCTTCCCTTCGCCTCGCTTCGCTTCGCCCCCTTCTTCCTCCCCTCTCTCTTCTCTCTCTCCCCCTTTCTCTCTCTTGGGGGTTTATGGGATAAAGGGGTTTGGATGAGGTTGGGATTTTTGGGTTTGGGGGTCGGGGTTTGCGGGTTTCGTTAAAGGGTGAAAAAGGGGTTTACAGAGACCCTCCCTATCACAAAGGGGCACCCCTTCTCGGGTTTTCCCCACTTTTTTTATTTGTTTTACAAAAACCGGGCCGGGGCCAAAACTACCGAGTTGGGTAAAAAACCCCTTAAACCCACAAAATAAATCTTACACCAAAACCTTTACAACTACACCCTACCTCTTCTACAAAACCTGGGCGGGAAATACTCATTTTGGGAAAACCCCCTTTAAACCCCTCCCATACTAAAACCATAACATATACCCAAAATGTACAAAATACCCCCTCCCTGCTTGAAAAAAACCAGGTCGGGCCAAAAAAACCCAAGCTGTAAAAAACCCTGGCAGTTTATCCAAAAAAAATCTACAGGGTTTTTGGAAAAATTTTCAGCCCCCTTGACTTTTTCCACATTTTGTTTTAGGTTACAGCCTTATTCTAAAATTGATTCAATCGTTTTTTTCCCTCAACAATCTACACACAATACCCCATAATGACAAAGCAAAAAGAGGTTTTTAGAAATTTTTGCTAATTTATACAAAATAACAGAAATATCACCTTTACATAAGTATTCAGACCTTTTACTCAGTACTTTGTTAAAGCACCTTTGGCAGCAATTACAGCCGTGAGTCTTCTTGGGTATGACACTACAAACATGGCACACCTGTATTTGGGGAGTTTCTCCCATTCTTCTCTGCAGATCCTCTCAAGCTCTGTCAGGTTGGATGGGGAGCGTTGCTGCACAGCTATTTTCAGGTCTCTCAAGAGATGTTCGATCGGGTTCAAGTCCAGGCTCTGGCTGGGCCACTCAAGGACATTCAGAGACTTGTCCCGAAGCCACTCCTGCGTTGTCTTCACGGATCTCTCTGTACTTTGCTCCGTTCATCTTTCCCTCGATCCTGAATAGTCTCCCAGTCCTGAAAAACAGTTTTCGCCGCTGAAAAACATCCCCACAGCATGATGCTGCCACCACCATGCTTCACCGTAAGGATGGTGCCAGGTTTCCTCCAGACGTGACTCTTGGCATTCAGGCCAAATAGTTCAATCTTGGTTTCATCAGACCAGAGAATCTTGTTTCTCATGGTCTGAGAGTCCTTGGGACCATTGGGTTCTTGGTCACCTCCCTGACCAAGGCCCATCTCCCCCGATTGCTCAGTTTGGCTGGGCGGCCAGCTCTAGGAAGAGTCTTGGTGATTCCAAACTTCTTCCATTTAAGAATGATGGAGACCACTGTGTTCTTGGGGACCTTCAATGCTGCAGAATGTTTTTTGGTACCCTTCCCCAGATCTGTGCCTCGACATAATCCTGTCTCGGAGCTCTACGGACAATTCCTTCGACCTCATGGCTTGGTTTTATATAGACAGGTGTGTGCCTTTCCAAATCATGTCCAATCAATTAAATTTACCACAGGTGGACTCCAATCAAGTTGTAGAAACATCTCAAGGATAATCAATGGAAACAGGATGCACCTGAGCTCAATGTTGAGTCTCATAGCAAAGGATCTGAATACTTATGTAAATAAGGTATTTCCGTTTTTTACTTTTAATACATTTGCAAAACTTTCTAAAAATGTGTTTTTCCTTTGTCATTATGGGGTACTGTGTGTAGATTGATGAGGAAAACAATTATTTAATCCATTTTAGAATAAGGTTGTAATGTAACAAAATGTGGAAAACGTCAACGGGTCTGAATACTTTCCTAATGCACTGTACTACACCCTATAACCATACACACTACACTTTACACTCCTGCACTGTACTACACCCTGTAACCATACACACTACACTTTACACCCCTGCACTGTACTACACCCTGTAACCATACACACTACACTTTACACCCCTGCACTGTACTACACCCTGTAACCATACACACTACACTTTACACCCCTGCACTGTACTACACCCTATAGCCATACACACTACACTTTACACCCCTGCACTGTACTACACCCTATAACCATACACACTACACTTTACACCCCTGCACTGTACTACACCCTGTAACCATACACACTACACTTTACACCCCTGCACCCTACACACTAACCTCTTACCCCTCCCTCTCTGTCCGTAGGAATATAGAGATCTTTGCTCTCTTTGTCTCTTGTATGTGCCATGACCTGGACCACCGTGGGACAAACAACTCCTTTCAAGTGGCTTCGGTAAGACACCTCACATACACACACACAGATGCTCTCAAATGCACACATACATGTAGGCACAGCCTTGATAAGAGTCATCACACACACAACCTCGCTCGACACACATACAGGTATAGCACCTGTAACACTTGTCGAACACATTGTAGGAAAACTCAAGGAAAGACTGTGGTTAGACAAGGGTAGTACACGTCACTTCAGTTATTACAGCGGAATAGAGAGTGGACTGAGAGGTGGTCTATCTATGTAATAACGTGTGCTGTCTTCTTCCTCTACAGCAATCTGTCCTGGCTGCCCTCTACAGCTCAGAGGGCTCTGTGATGGAGGTGAACACACACACACATTTATCTCTGGGACTATAGTGACACCTAGTGGCCATTCTTCAACCTCCTATCCCATAATAACCTGTGTGTTTCCACAGCGACACCACTTTGCCCAAGCCATACCCATTCTAAAACACACATGGCTGAACATCTCGACAAGTTCTCAGAAGGTGTTTCTTAGGTGGAATCCCAACGTGTTTGTGTTAACAGGAACCAGGGACTGTTATAGGTTTGTGTGTGTGTGTGTGTGGTGTGTGTGTGGGGTGTGTGTGTGTGTGTGTGTGTTGGGGGTTGGTGTGTGTGTGGTGTGTGGTGTGTGTGCGTGTGTGTGTTGTGTTAATCTTGTGTGGTGTGTGTGTGTGTGTGTGTGTGTGTGTGTGTGTGGTGTGTGTGTGGTGTTGTGTGTGTGTGTGTGTGTGTGTGTGTGGTGTTTTTGTGTGTGTGTGGTGTCAGGACTACCAGAGGTGTTGGACCTGATGAGGGATACATCCTGGCCATGACCTGGCTCCCACCTCCGCATCTTCCCCGACCTGCAAAGGATGGCTGATGGTAAGGCAGTGTGTGTTATGCTGTCTTTTTTTGCACCTAAACCAAAGGAAACAATTGTCAACCTTGGTCCATAGAAGGTTTGAGTCTACTTAGGGTGACAATCTCGCCCCAGGGGAAGTGGGTGTATGAGTGTGTGTATGTGTGTGTGTATTTGTGAGTATAATAGTCTTCCATGCGCTCTCCCTTTCTGTGTGTGTGTGTGTGTGTGTGTTGGTGTGTGTGTGTGTGCTAGCTGGCTACAACCCCAAGAATCAGACCCACCGTTCTCTGCTGCTGTGCCTGCTGATGACCTCGTGCGACCTGTCGGACCAGACCAAGGGCTGGAAGACCACCCGCAAGATCGCTGTGAGGAACCCTAACGTCTACTCCTAACCCTAAACCTAGCCTCAACCACCACCCTAACCCAAACACTAACCCTATGGCTTCATGTCCACATCCAGGTTCAACCCTAACCCTAACCTCAACCACAACCCTAACCCAAACACTAACCCTATGGCTTCATGTCCACATCCAGGTTCAACCCTAACCCTAACCTCAACCACAACCCCAGACCCTAGTTGACCTTTGACCCTAAAACTATTTTTCTCTCCTCTGTGTATTCAGGAGCTGATCTATAAAGAGTTCTTCTCCCAAGGGGATCTGGTATGTGTGCTACACTGTATTCCTGCACTGTGTCTGTGTGTCTGTCTGTGTTGGGGGGGGGGGGGGGGGGGGGTGTATCTGATGTGTGTAACTTACGTGTGTGTTGGGGGGGTGAGGGTGTATCTGACATATGTAACTTCCGTGTGTGTGTAGGAGAAGGCGATGGGGAACCGTCCCAGTGAGATGATGGACAGAGAGAAGGCCTACATCCCAGAGCTACAGATCAGCTTCATGGAACACATCGCCATGCCCATCTACAAGTAAGAACCAATCACAACACAGTGTTTATCACTACTGACCCAATCACAACGCAGCGTTTATCACTACTGACCCAATCACAACACAGCGTTTATCACTACTGACCCAATCACAACGCAGCGTTTATCACTACTGACCCAATCACAACACAGCGTTTATCACTACTGACCCAATCACAACACAGCGTTTATCACTACTAACACCAGTTTAATAACCTCACAAACCCTATAACCAACCAAACGTTTATCCCTACTGACCCAATCACAACGCGCGTTTATCACTACTGACCCAATCAAAACCCCAAACTTTATCACTACTGACCCAATCACAACACAGCGTTTTTCACTATGACCCAATCACAACCAGCGTTTATCACTACTGACCCAATCACAACGACGCTTTCACTACTAAACCCCTCACAACCAGCGTTTATCACTACTACCCATCACAAACCGCGTTTATCACTACTGACCCAATACAACGCAGCGTTTTCCCCTACTGACCCAATAAAAACCAGGTTATCACTATGCCCAATCAAACACGGTTTTATACAAATCCCCAAATACAACGAGGTTTTCCTACTGACCCAATCAACCACAGCCCAACATTTACCCCACCAAATTTTTATGCCCCGCCCTGTCCCCGATAGGTGTTGGAGCGTTCCCGGGGCAACCGACGTATGAGCGTGTAGGGCCCAATCGAGTGCAGGGGACCAAAGTTCCCACAAGTCACCCGTCCGGGGGTTCCTAGCAAAAATCCCTCGTTTTCCGGGATGAAGATTTGAGTGCTGCAAATCAGGTGCACTTGGGGGAAGCCACTGCGATGACACCCCCCGCCCCAAAGGTTGCCTGGATGATGGGGGGCGGGGGGAGGGCCAGAACCACCCAAAATGGGTAGGAAGCGGTATTTCTAGGCCAAAAGAACCTAAGGAAAAGTTCCCTTTTTACTCCCGGCGGAGAAGCGGGGGGCTCGAGACAGTTGAGTTTGACTGAGGTCAATCCTTTAAAGGTGAGCAAGACAGAGGATGAACGCGGAGAGACGATTTAGAGAATCATTTAAGGAGTCGATTTAGATAGTCGTTCGCGATTCGTAGATGTAAAAGTGACTGAATCCGTGAGGGGAAAAAAAGAGTAGTGTTTAAATTGGAAAATGTCCTTTTTTTAAAAGAGGTTCCGTTCAATTTTGAGTTTCGTTTTACCACAGGTCACAGCAACCCAATGGTCAACCCCGTAAAAATATTGAAAAAGGCCCTTTTTAGTTCAAAACTGGTGTACGAAAGGCGTTAAGTAAATGACCCCGGGTTTTGTGTTTTGTCCGAATCCTCCCCCCGGCCCCCACCCCCACACTGCACTCATAGATGCTTTTTTTGTTTTAGCCTACGTTTTTTTTTATTCGGGCATCTGTGTCCGTTTTCCAAAATTATATTTTTTGTCAGTAGTATATATGGAGCCCATTAGGCCATGCGATCCATTGGTTTTGAGGGGAAAAAACGCCGGGAGGAAAGTGGGTAAGTTCACTCTCTTTGGGATGGGGGACGGATCATGGTCACGTGGTGTCAAGCTAAAATCTCTATCCCGGAGCGGCACAACACACACACCACCCACACACACAACAACACACACAAAACCCCAAACCAAAACCATTACAAACCTTCACAACAACGTAAGGGATTTTCTGATCTTTCTTTTTTTTGGGGGGGGGGGGGGTCCCCCGTTTATAACCCGAGAAACCAAAAGAGGCAAGGAACCCCTTTTAAAATCGGTATCTCCTGTTTGTGGGTTTTGGGGGTGTTTTGGTTTTGGGTTTTGTGTTTTGGGTGTGTGTGTTTGTGTGTGTGTGTGTGTGGTGTGTGTGTGTGTGGTTTTGGTGGGGTTTTTTTGGTTTGTGTTTTTTGGGTTTAAAGTGGGGTAAAAAGAAAAAAGGCCAACGTATCCCGTGGTTTTCAAATTTGGCTTTTTATGCAGAAAAACCAAAAAAGAAAAAAACAAAAAAAAACAAAAAAACAACAAAGGGTCCCCCATTTTTTTCAAAAAAAAAAAAAAAATTTTTTTTCGCCCCCAAGTGTGTTGATGAAACAAGGGACCCCCCCCTTTCCCCTTCCTTTTTTTTTTTTCCCTTTTTTTTTAAGCCTTTTTTGGGGGGCAAAAAAAAATTTGGGTTGAACAGCCCTATAGCGGGACAGTGTGTTGATGAACAGACCTATAGCGGACGTGTGTTGTGAACAGATTAGCTGGACAGTGTTTTGATGAACGACCTAAGCGGGGAAAGTGTTGTGAACGACCAAAGTGGACAGGGTTTTGGGTTTATCTGTTTTTGGGGTTGAAGAGAGGGAGAGTTCATATTAAAAACACTACCACTCAACCCAATAAATAGTCCCTAATGTTAAACTAAGTGTGAACATGCCAGTGAAGTACTAGAAAACGCACCCCACCACTCGGGTTACATACTGATATGTGGAAAAAATTAAGGATAAGTGAAATTTGTTTTAAAGACGGATATAGTGATAATTTTTAGATGAATAAAACGGGGGAAATTTTGGGTTAGGTGACTGGGGGTATGGGTGAAATTTTTGTTAATGAATAAACCGGGGATTTTGGTTAGGTGACGGGGCGTACAGGTAAAATGGGGATAGGTGAAATATGAATGGGACAGCATATATTTTAAATTTTTGGTAGATGATTCCCCCTCAGGGAGTTGTGTTGATTTGCTTCATTTTTTTGTAAATTTTAACTTTTTCAAATGGCATTAGGTGGGCTAGCGATCTGAAGTCTCTTTAGGCTGTATGTCTGTGACCTCCGCCCCCCGATGACAAGATTAATTTCCCTTTCCCCCTTTTGTTGTTTTTTTTTTCCTCCGTCCCGTTCCAGATCCCTTTCTATGTGCAATATGTGTGGATGCATGCCGAAATCGACGTAAATACAGTCGATCTTAAATTTTTAGGGTGGCTTTTCACATAACTTTTTTTTATTTTGCGGTTGTGTCAGCGAGTCAGGGTCCATCATGTGCCAACCCTTAAAAAAAGCAGGTTTTTACTGTGAGTAATCGCATAGGCTTTTATAAATGCTGTAAAAAAACATTTTATAAAGGTTATTTGATTATGTTTATTAAAAGAGGCTATTTTAATTTTTTCATGTTATTTGCTGGGGTTTGAGTTAAAATCATTTGTTTTTCCATTTATAGTGTTTTTAAAGGGCCCCAAAAAATGTGGGCCCTACAGTTCAAACGAGGGGATAAAAAAACAAAATGTATTTCAACATAAAATTGTTTACTAATTCTGAAAACTGAAAACAAAGACTGAAGTGATTAAATTTTTATTTTGTTGTGAAGGTGTAGACCAGTGGGGGTTTGTGGGTTCTTAAATGCTTGTAAGATCCTTCTGGAAAGAGAACACATGATAAAAATTTTTTTTCGTGAAAAAAATTTTGGTTAAGGAGATGGTTTTCCTAAATTTCATTTTTCATCCCAGAGACAGTATAGGTACACACCAACAACACCGCTAACACACCAGCAAATACAAATCAAATAAAATCTCAAAATATTAGGCATATTTTCTTTTTTATTGTTGGTAAAGTTTCCGTTTTGGGGGAAGTCCTCTTAAATTTTTTGTAAAAAAAATCCCTTTTTGCGCATTTTTATGCGTGCCTATAAAAAAAAAACCCGGCAATTGCATATTGATGCAACTAAGATAAAAACCCCAAAAATACTGTACTTATTTACAAATTGAAAATTTACCAGGGGGCTCAAAAAAATCATCTCGCCCCTGTGATCAGCGCTGGCCCCCGGGTGCTGGGCCCCGGTGTTGAGCACCGTTAAAAAGGCCAAGATCCCCCTCCACCGGGGAGAGCATCCCGAGACCCGGGGTGTTTGAAGAGAGGATGGGAGTTTTTACTACCTTGTATCCCGGACCCCGGCAGATGGGAAAAAACAAAGGCCCGGTGGGGAGGGACCCGAAGATCCAAAGGAAACCGGGGGGGGGGAAACCCCAAGCGAAACCCCAAAACGGAAAGGGCGATGGGCCGGAAAAACCGAAGTGCTTTTGGGTAATAAAAGAAAAATTGGCCCCCACGAAAGATGGGGGGGAAAACCCGGGGATCCTTTCTCCCCGAGAGGGCCAAAAATTTTTCCGGGGGGAAAAGGGGAAAAACCCCCCCCTTTTGGAAAATGGAAAGTGTGTTTAAAGAATCGGCCGGATTGGGAGATTTAGGACGGAGGGTTTCCCCAGGAACTCTGGGAAAAAAATGGAACAAATTTCCCCGGGAAAAAGGGGGGAAAAAAAAAAAAAAAGTAATTTGAAAAATTTATATTTAAGAAAAAGTAAAAATTTTTTAAAAATTTCCTTTGTTAAGAAAAAGCAAACGGAACCTTTTTATTTTTTTTTTTAAAATGTATGGCTAGCCAGGGGCACACTCCAACACAGACATCATTTACAAATTATGCATTTGTGTTTAGCCCTGTGTAGCTCAGTTGGTAGAGCATGGCGTTTGCAACGCCAGGGTTGTGGGTTGGATTCCCACGGGGGGGCAGTATGAAAATGTATGCACTCACTAACTGTAAGTCCCTCTGGATAAGAGCGTCTGCTAAATGACTAAAATGTAGAATGTAGTGAGTCCGCCAGATCAGAGGCAGTAGTGATGACCACGTGTTCTCTAGATAAGTGCGTGAATTGGACTATTTTCCTGTGCTGCTCAGCATTCAAAATGTAACGAGTACTCTTGGGTGTCAGGGAAAATGTATGGAGTAAAAAGTAGATTATTTTCTTTAGGAATATAGTGAAGTAAAAGTTGTCAAAAAATAAATAGTAAAGTACAGATACCCCAAAAAAGTACTTAAGTAGTACTTGAAAGTATTTTTACTTAAGTACTTTACACCACTGGAAAAGGGCTCCCTCCCTCGCCGAGGAACTTACTCAGTCTGAGATTAACTCAGTCGTTGAAGAGACAGAGCTAGAGGTTGCACCCGCTTCGACCCAGAGCTGGCCGATGAGAAGGCTGTTTGGAGGG